ATATATATATATATATGTGTGACTTTCTTGCGTGTACTTTCTCGTCCGTGTTGGAAGAATTTGCCAAGCGTTTATGCGAGCGGTGTTTCAATAACGGTGAAGGAAATCGGAGCGGGACTCGTTTCATTGTCAAGGTGGAAGCGTTTGGAAGCTTCGTCGTTCGAGTTAAAATTATCTGCCGGTTTGAAAAGCACATGTACACGTGTACGACTGTAGCTTTTTATTTTTTTTTTTTTTTTTTTTTGTGTACACGCGCGACTGAATCATACCTCTGTTCCCACGATAGTGACAGAGTATATTTGGCAACTTGCTTACGATATCGATTGGACAACGTTGATGGTGAAACAAACGCGGAACTCGTCTTGCTGAAATGTCTCGTGACATTTGTACGCGTTGGCTAGGTCACGGTTATTCATCTCGCGTTTGAACAAACCCTAACATACGTACATATGTGTAGGTATACACATGACGATTTATTTACTTTTTTCATTTTGTTAAATCGATTGAACAAGTCGTTTATCTTTTTACTCAGTTTCTGCCTCGACACAATTTGATCTGCACGATTTTTTTTTTTTTTTTTTTTCTTCATCCCCGATGCTCTTTACGATTTGTCCAAAAGGGGACATTTGGTAAAATTTTTTTGGCAGTATATTTTAGCACGTAGATGCTTCCTCAGTAGGATGCATCTCTATTGTAACATTATGTTGTGGAGAGGTTATCTTTTGGATGCTTCTTGCTTCTCTTTTAAATCTTGTCATATATCTCTTGCATGAATGTTTTATTTCCTCTTCTACTGATTTAATCGTAAGGTCGTTTCGTATTTGCTCATTCCGCTTGTACCAAAGTAGCGTAGACGATAAGCTCTCAACTCAAGGATGATGGACCTGCAACGCCTCCATTTTTGCCTACATGACCATCGGCGGGAAATTTAAAATTCCGCGTGTGTAAGGTTGCTTTAGTTTTTTAATTGAGAAATTCTTGATTTTCGACGACGAGTGGGATTTATCAAGCTTTCATGTATATGGTAAATTCAAAGAAAGCTCTAATCACCTCTGATGCGAAATCGTTGATTGAACACATTGCGCTGAACATAACCATTAAACAAATTGAAACGAATCGAATCGAATTCAGTCTTCTAGATGGGGTTCGGCCATTGCTTGGGCGAACAATTGCAAATCGTAATTACGTCATCGAGATTGACACAGTTGGAGTAGTAAAGAGAAAGGAGCTATACAAATACGTATTTCGAGAATATTACTGTGTTACACAGCCATGTGACTCTACGTGTATATCCTGCATTATCCTCTCGAGTACAATTTTGTTGAACAAAGCTGTCGTCACGTGGCAGCACCGTGCTGACAGTCCCAGCCTGGATCAGAACCTCGAAAGAGACGAAGTAAGACACAGAGGGTACAAAGTACCATCAGTTATTTTCGAGAACGAAATTTCCAATTTTATCGTTTTATCGAAACTACGTACGTACATCTTGTTTGGACGATACACAGATTGTAGCAACTGTCGTCCGACGATGTTGACATTATCAAAGTTCGATGCTCACTGTTCAGTGTGCTGTCCACCACATTGTGCGAGACGGACACAGTCGTGGACGCGATCCTTGACGTCCATGTAACTCGATCACACGATCGAAGGGATTTCGATTTTGATATCGGACCGCCCGCTCCTGCGGTCACCGAGTGTCCGACTCGCTTGCTCGCGAGCTCTCGTCACGCGATAGGAAATTGAGGTTTACGGCAATTGTTTTTCTTTCTACTTTCCACGCGGGATAATGATTTATCATTCGTATTTATTTACGTAAAAGCAACGTAAAGCAACGTGGGGTATCTTGCGTTTATTCTCCTTTTTGTTGTCTTTTTTCAGAGTATCCTTCGGTTCGAGCAAAGGATCAATGGTAGAAACTTTGGTATACGAGACACCTGTTCAAGAAGAGCCGGAGATCAATCGATTTATCGACCACAACGGGCGCATACCCTCTATGATCGCATCTGTACCTGATACCGAGTAAGCAAAAAAAAAAAATACTTTTTCTTTCGCTGTGCTCTCACAAGTACGCTTGTACTTGCTCGCATGTGTGATGCTACACGTCTCATCTAATTGGTTGATAATAAATACCGATACGGATGGTCGTTGGAAGGTTACAGGATTGCAACTAGTACGAGTAATTTATAACACACCGAAAATTACGGTGAAAATAGTTTTTCGTACGATGAGTAATCCGCCGACGAGTAAAGAGCTGAAACGTAAAAGGCAACGATATTGACATCATCCTCTCGGTTTTAAAATATGCTCCGACCGCCTCGGGGCGGGAGGTGGCATGATGTCATCCTTGGAATCTGCACACGGGCAAATATAAATTTATACGCGTCTCGCTGCACAAACTTGTCTGAACAGTTGTGCAAGTGAAACAACGTTGGATCTGACGTCTGTACAATGCTCGAATATACAACGACGACAGAACGACGCGCGCCGGCGAGAGAGCAAGGAAATGAAAATAAATCGGGTTTTCAGCCAATCCTAGTGACCAAAGCATTAACTCATTGGCGCAGAACAACGGAGTCAGACTCGTGGTGTATTTTCGTAATAATATGCATTAACACGTGTTGTATCGTGATTGATTTCGAATAATAATTATTCTATATAATTACGAAACAGTTTCGCCGTTTTAATTAATTACGAAATAATTTTGAACAGTGTAGCGACAGATTTTTTTTTTTTTTTTTCTTCAAAGACAGAAAAATCGTTTCAGAAGTATATGTTCCGAAGATTCTGATAATGAGGAATCAATAAGAACAAATGAAAATAACGCTAATGATTGGGAATTGGGTTTCCAAAGACAATAATCGAACCTAACCTAAACCCTTAGATAATCCCACTGTAACATAGATTTATTCGATCGAATATTGACGGATGATTGCTGTTGAAACGAATATATATGCAGGTGCTAAATAGCGAAAATTACAAAAAGAAAAAAATACGAAAAAAGGAGTGAAACTAGTTGGGAATGCGAACTTTGTTTGGTAGCCTTTACATATTCCAGAATGTTTCAAAAAGTATCACACTGAAATAAATTATTGATACATAAAGTTTTTTTTTCTGGAAAATTTATTATTAATAATTCTCTCTACATACCACCATATCATCTACTCAGGTTTTCAATGTTTTTTTTGTATCATTTCTACGCTGCATTGCCCAAGTGCATTTTGTCCACCAAATATACGTAATGACTGCCGCGCGAATAGGTTAAACGATCGAAAGCGTGCGGGGGCGCAGTTTGGCGAAAGCTGCGAGAGAGTGCAGCACTGTCACGGTTGTTGGGCGCGATGCCGCCACGAGCCGTCACAGTGCAAAGGCAGACAAGAAGGTGGAGCAAGGGGAAGCCCATAAACGCAGGCGTGGTGCCGAGGATTTACGATCGATTTCGCTCGTCGCGTATACCCCGAGCTTCGTTTCCCGGAGAGGCGAGGTTCAGTCGGTGTCGTGCCTGGGCATCGGTCGTCAGCCTTGTGCACTTTTCTTTCCTTCTCTCTTCCTCTCGCGAGTGTCCCCGTAGCGACGGCCGTGAGTGAGTGACACACCGGGTTTCGAGCTCGACCGACGAAGTCCAGGGCAAAGAACTTGCATGCCAGGAGTATTCGCGGCAGCCTCTCGTCATTGTTCCCGAGCCACGGCCACGGGAAGCTGACGGATTCTCATCTGTCAGGTACGTTTCTCTTAGCTTTCGCGTTTGTTCGCGTCGACGAACAAAGAGGAGGAGGCGGATGAAACAGCCTCCTCCGCGTTCGTCGTTTGGTAAAGCATGGCGGGGAGAATCGATCCCGGCTTACGATTACTCCTCTTCGTGCTCTTAACTGTTTCTCGTTCGTTTCTAATTACTTTCTTGACCCCGTGGGAGAGATCACTTTTACCGCGCGACCTCTTTTTTTTTTTATTCAATTCGACGATGATCGTACGTGTGCTGCGATCGATTATAGGCTCTTTAAAAGAGCCTATTAACCTCTTGTGCTGGAAGCAACTATCGTTTGCGGACCATAACGAGTGACCAAACGAGTGTATACAATAATTCGTCGCTTTCTTTTTGAACTCGTCGCTATGATATCACTGGATAGTGATTATTACTAG